CAGCTCAAATCTGTTTCAAAGCAACACACAACCAACTTCCACTCAAAATAAACAAACTGTTTGGAGAAAGGGAAGGAGGGTACCCTTTAATGCCGCTTGTGCCTTTACATCCTGTCAGAACAACATTAAAGAGTTGATGCATTTCAATAGCGGGTGTAAAATTATGAATGTTTGTTTGATTAATTATTCATTCCAGATCATCTAGAATCAGCCATGCCAACCAGAGTCAGAGGGGTGTAGCAGAAACTAATTTCTTCAAACCTTTGGTCAGAGTGAAACGTAACATGGTGGGGGATTATTTCTAGATGTGAAGTAATAACCTCACTAACTACAGACGGTTTCAAACTTTTAGCTGTGAAGACGTTCCACGCTACTGCTTCGTCATCACAAGCAGACACCGGGGAGAATCCCATTATTGTTATCAGATGTCTTCCAGGTTCTTCTCACAATTACTGCAACAGAAACAAACACCTAATAATGGTGAAGTCAAGCACCCCTTGTGTTATGATCCTTCACATTTCTTGGCAGCTGCTCAGACCCGCTCGCTTCGTCTCCTCAAACTAGAAAAGAAAAATCACATCCCTGAACGATGAACCAACAACGCACCAACCAGCGGACATGCTGGGGGACATAAACCCGTTTCCCCTAACACACACACACACACACACACACACACACACCGACTCAGTGATTACTGCCTTTAATGTCTTTCGGTCGGTTAAGCTGAAATCCCAGAGCAAACACAGAGCCAGTATTTCTGGAGGTGGAGGTAAAACAAGAAGACCTGCATGCCTGACCTGCATGTTGAGTAGCCATCTTTGTGCCCACCCTCATCAGCAACTGTCCATCATGCTACAGACACACCAAGGCGCACACACACACGCGCACACACACACACACACACACACACACACACACACACACACACACACACTAATAAATACAAATGACTGCGGCAGCGGTGACACACCTGACCATCACCTGCCCACATAGATGCAAATGGAGCCCTCCCCTGAAAACAGATGAATGATCTTCAGGTCTGAGTGAATTCATCTTCAGCTCAAACACGATGAAGATGAAGATGCAGGTGAACTGATGTTTATTACCCCACCTTCCACAGAGCACCATACAGGACCACGAAAGCCTCCGCTGAGGAAGAAACCCGTGACTAAAGAGTTACCGTGTCCTCTCAGTGACTGATCATCTTCAGCCTCCACGTGCCTGCCTCCTCTTCCTCCCCTCTCTCCATTTTTCCTTCCCACTGCGGCTCGGTGGATTTCCCGCGCCCAGAGGAGCTGGCAGAGTCCCCCTTGCTGATTCCTGTAGTCGCGCCTGAGAGGCTGTGAGCACGTCGTCCTGCCCCTCCTCCTCCTGCTCCTGTCTGTCACCCTCTATCTCCCATCCATCCCTCACACAAACGGTGAAGAAGCCCTTCCTCCCTCCATCCTTACCACTGTTTCCTCACTCGGTACAGTGTGTTCATTGCCAGTTGTATGATATCACTCGCATTCCTTATAAGGAAAGCAGCGAGTTGCCATGACGACAGGAGACTCCACCTGTTTCTCCACCTCTTAGTCTCCCACCTTCTTCCGTCGGGATAAGCATGTTTTGGAAGAGTGGGAGGAGAGGAAGAGGAAGCAGACCGAGACAAGATGGACTGAAGCCAGAGACGGAGGAGAGCGAGGTTTAAAGGTTAAGTTTGATATTTAGGAAGATTTATGAATAAAAACCCAACGAAAGAGTGAGAGATGGATAAGAAAATGATTTATGTGTGAACAGACTAGAGGATTAGAACAACGACCTCTTTAAAACAGACACAATGGCACATTTATGGTTCAAAGGTCGATTTACGTAAAACTCCACCAAGTGTTTAACTTCAGACTGAATTTACTTCATTTAATAATAATAATAATAATAATAATAATCATGGATTAGATATAGGAAGCACTTTTCTAGGCACTCAAAGAAATTTCCACTATTCACACATTCACACACTGCGGGTGATGGTAAGCTACTGTGTGTGTGTGTGTGTGTGTGTGTGCGTGTGTGCGTGTGTGTGTGTGTGTGTGTGTGTGTGTGTGTGTGTGTGTGTGTGTGTGTGTGTGTGTGTGTGTGTGTGTGAAATATTTATTCCTCCTATCATGGTTCTCCACTCCGTTTTTTCACTAAAACATACAAGCAGAGAAATGTTACAGAGAATCTGCTCTGGTCTCTAAATAAATATCTGTTTTCCGGGGGGGGGGGGGCTCTAGCTCTCCTGTTTCAGGAAACAAGTCAGACAGAGAAGTGGGGAAGTGGAAAGCATTTTGAGTCTGTCTAATTAGTATTCTTCATTTGCAAATATCTTGCTTCTGATTGGCTAACGGCACAGCATCTCCACCACTGACTCCATTTTCTCTGCAACGTTGATGTTTTATCTTCACAAATAACACAAGTCTGAAGGAGTTATGCTGTGTGGTGGAGTTACTCATGCTAATGATTAGCTTCATCTAGCTGAAACCATATTTGTCAAGTCTTTTGTTTTGGCCAGGAAACTCCCGTATTTGACCCCTCTTTCCCATCCTCTTCCCGTATTTGTATTTTTCTGTAATTTACTCGGGGAAACTACTAAGGAGACCTGAGGGAGATGAAACCCGCTCCCCCTCCATTCCATCGATCTGACCCTAACCCACATAACTTGACAGGTATACCCCAAAAGCATCTCTCCTGGATGCTAAACCAACAACAGACTTCCCAGTCACGAGTCAAGGTGAGTCCATGAACGCTACTTTTCCATGTAACGTAGATCTTTGTGGCTTTTCCAAAGCGACCGTTTCACCATCTTTTGGCGGCTAATGCAGGAAACGGGTAGAAGACTATTTTCACGTAAAACTGGCATGTTAAACTGAAAAAAAAGCATTACACGTTTCTGTTACGGCTACTAGGGGTTGCATGACTTGATTTTTTTTAAAGTTGACAGTCAAGTAATGAAAATCGAGTCGACTTCGACTAGTCATTGATGACGTCATACACCTGAAGCGGCACGGGGGGTGGGGGGGTGGGGGTCGGTAGGTTCGCTGGAGTTTTTGACAATTAAAATTGCGTCCACATTTTCAAAGTTAAACACATTTCTTTTAACAACGGTAGTTTCTGCTTCAGCCCTCTCCCCCTCCCCCTGCGCAGCAGCCGCAAACTCACTGATGCGCCTGCAGCCTCTCAGAGTTCCTGCTGCTCTAAACATTAAAATAATTATTTCATTTTCTGTTCCTCACTTCTGATTACCTTCAATGGTGTCTGTTTGTTGCAACCAGCAGGTACAAAAACTAACTTGTTTTTATTCGACTATTTTTCTGTCCTGTCTGTTTATTATCTTCCTGTATCTCCTCTCAGTCCTAAAGAAAAACTGCTACCTGGATTTATTTATATTCACCTCATGAGTTACCTTTGAACTGCAGTTCTAAACGATCTACCGACCGCTAAAACAGAGGAGTGCCGCTGCTCGCCGGCCGACTACAACGGGACCGTTTTTGCTGCGGAGTTCGTGGCGGAGCGGAGATAGTGGAATTTTGGGGGTGCGTCACCGGAGGACAAAACAGGTGATGCGCCTCGCTCTGCAGCAGCGAAACACATCAGGCACAAATAACAGACAGAAAACATTAAAGGAAATGAGCCGACATGAACGATCGCGTGTTTAATTTGTTTTTGAGGTGGTGAAACCTGATTTGGCGGTGCTCAGGACGCAGATGTCTGGAGCGCGTCATCGATCAGAGCTTTGCATGCGCAAACTGGTTAAGATTAGGATGGGGGTGAGGGGAAGGTTAAATTGCAAGAGGGAAAAGGTCACAGTTTGGTTAAATGTCCGTTTTACCGCCGGTGTCAGTACCGACGCTCTGGCACAGTGCGTCGCGTCCGCCTCCCGACGCAGGGGCTCATCACCTGCTGTCTTTTCCGAGGACTGCATCTCGTCAGTCATTATCACGTGACAGCGACTAGTCGATGACAGGCATAAGAAGTCACTACAGAGCCGTGAAGTCGACTAGTCGACTAGTTCATACAACCCCTAACAGTTACCAGCCTTGCCAGTGAGACGCAGGAGCCAGGATCACCCAGCCCTGGTGATCAGCTGCTGAGGAGCACAGCTGAGTAAAAAGGCTGTGCCTTCAGCAGACTGGGAGGCAGCAGTGCGGGGGTTCTGCTGCCCTCTTGGCCTCATTTTGTTTTCAACCCTTTTGTTTGGGATGAGTTTTAACTTTTAAAGTTTTAACTCTTAAAGTTTTAACTCTGAGTTGAGGAGTTGAAAGGAAAAAACTCTGAGTGATCCATAGGGATCTTTGGTTGATGTCAACTTAGTTGACTCTGTTTTAAGGTTAACTCTGCTTTAGTTTTTAGACTTTTATCAACTCCGTTGTGTTTTTAAAACACCTTCAGTTTAGGTAAAACTTTTAATACAGTTTAAACCAGGTGTTTTATACAGTTGATAAGTTTTCTTTTAACTGTTAACCTTATAGTGAAATTTTTGTTTTGCATTATTTTAATAACGCTCGCCATCTGTTTGCACTTGTTTTTAGAACCTTTTATAACAATTAAACCCATTTTATCTCCACTGTTGCATTTCTTATGTTACCCCCTCCTTTACGTTTTTACATCTCCTGTCGGGGACGTAAGAGTTTCTCTGTGAACCTCGTCTTCACAGGAAGTCTGATTAAGGTGTCCTTCCCCATGTTTTCTGAAAGTTTTCCAGCCTCACTTCTGTCAGTGTGTCCCAGGGCAGCCGTGCAGTTTATCACCGCCAGGGTGTGAATGTGCATCTGAGGGTGAATGACTGTAAAGCACCTTGAGGGGGTTCCAGGACTAAGGCTTTATAAAAATACAAACCTATAAACATGCTATTAAAAAGTGAGACCCAGTTAAACCTCAGCTTTTCCTTTGTTTGATGTGTGTGAGTGTTAGCATCGTGTCTCTTTGACCCGTGTTCTGGTTGTTGAATAGAAAACAGCATCAGATAAGTCTGAGTCAAGTACCTGCCGCCCGGCTACAGCGGAGCCCTGAGACAAGCCACCAGGACTGTTGGAGTATTTGTTCTTCTGCAGGTCCATCAGGGCATCTCGCTGCCGTTCGATGTCCGCCTTGTGGATGCTGTTCAGGGCCTCCAGGCTTTTAGCAGCCACAGAGTTGTGCCGGCGGTCCAGCGAGGATGACATGAAGCCTCCATTGCTGTTGTCCTGGAAGCGCCGTGCCCCTCGGCCACCGCTGGCAGCCAGGGTGTGGAAGTCCCGCGGAAACTCGGCATCACCGGCAGAGATCATGGGATCCTTTCTCTTCTCTCGACCTGGGCGTGGAGAGATTGGAAATCAGAACAGGAAACTTCTCAAACTTTAAACGCTTTTAATTGGTGTTATTTTTATTTATTTATTTATTTTTATCAAGACAAAACAAGACCGCAGTTAAGAAATCACCGTAGAGAGTCGGCTCAACTTAATCATTCATTCACTTGTTCACTTATATTTTCGGAGGATGAAAAACCATTCGAGATGACCCATCTAGTTTTCACATGGTCCCCTTTGACGCTGATAAAATAAAGGAAAACACGTTTTCAGCAACGTTTCTGTGAGAAAAATAATATTTTTAATGAAATAATGATACGTTTTTAAGAAAAGTGAAATGCCAAATATTAAGGACGAATTCTGTAACTAAAATCTCCCAAAGGAGAATTCATGTGGAACTCGGATGTGTCCTTAGAAATCAGGAGACCTCAACTAAATTTGTTCAAAGGCCAGAGTGTTCTTCCAGCAGACGCCATAAGGGCCCGATGCTGTTCTAAAATAATGTTCAAGTTTTATTGTATCTTACTTTATTAATGTTTAAAATTGATTTGTTTTCCATGTAAACACACACACACACACACACACACACACACACACACACACTGACTCAGTGATTGCTGCCTATAATGTCTCACGGTCGGTTTTGATTGTAGTTTTAATGTGTTTGGAGAACATAATTATTGATATTTGGGACATGAATGTTGCTGCTTAACTTCAAAGTCCCCCAGTTGGGGGGCGTTCGGGCACAAAGGTCCGGAGGACCAGATGTGGCCCATGGGCTGCCAGTTGAGGCTCACCGTTTTAAAGCTTCTTATTATTCATTAAATTATCTGTAATTGCTAGTGATGAAAATAACTTCATCATATTAATAAAGATAATGATCCTTTACTTTTAAATGCACATTTACTCAATAAGGAAATAAAATACTCAATTTAACTTAACACTTCTATTTACATTCCTTTTCCTCTGTGAGGAAACTGCTCCCTAAAGATGACAAATATTTACCTCGCTGAGGAACGCATCAGGCTGAGAACCAGATGTGATGTTAGATAATCACCCAACACCTCGCTGAACACCACTAATGGCTTCTACTCCAAGGCAGTCAAAGCAGCAGCAGGATGACTAATGATGATCTGACAGAACCTGTGATCACGGAGGAAAACCCCTAATCCTAACCCATCCTCAAGAAACGCTGAACTCCAAAACATCAGCAAGAAAATGTTTTCTGTCTTCTGGTTGGCTGAACACACACTGTCTTATACACACAAGTTAGAAACCAAAACACACACACCTCCAGCAAAATACTACCTCCCCCCCTCCCCCAATGAAAATGTGGGGAACATCTGTCTATTCCAACAACTCCAGCTGTCTCGGAACCCCGAGGTGAAAGAACAGAGGTGTGAGAAAACCTTCAGGACCAGAGAACCTCCTCATGCACGAAAGAATCAGGAAATCGACAAAAATGGGAATGTTGGTCCCTGGCCTACAGTGACCAATGACACACACACACACACACACACACACACACACACACACACACACACACACACACACACACACACACACACACACACATGCTCACAAACCATCAGAGGCAAGTCCTGACAGGCAACAGAAGAACTATGAACTATTTTGTTATGAAGCACAAAAATGTTTTCCTCAAGAACATTTTTGAATAATTTGTCAAAATGAAGATTTAAGATTTTACCAGAGTTTGCAGGTAGCAGCACTCCGAGGTACCAGGGTTCCTTTTCATTTCTAATCCATTGAATCTACAAGTGCCGGTCATTAAATTAGAGTATCATGACGACGTTGATCTATTTCAGTAATTTCATTTAACTGAAGCTGTATATTAGATTTATTCATTACACATAGACTGAAATATTTCTAATGTTTATTTCTTTTCATTTTGATGATTATAACTGATGAAAATCCCAAATTTAGTATCTCATAATATAGCCAAGCGGGGTGCAGCAGTGGCAGTTGCCGAGGCAAAATCTCGGGCGTGGGAGGAGTTTGGTGAGGCCATGGAGAAAGACTATCGATCGGCTCCAAAGAGGTTCTGGCAAACTGTCCGGCGCCTCAGGAGAGGAAGGCAGCAACTCGCTCACACTGTTTACAGTGGGCATGGGGAGCTGCTGACGTCAACTGGGGCTATAGTCGGACGGTGGAAGGAATACTTTGAGGAGCTCCTCAATCCCACCAATGCGCATTCCGAGGAGGAACCAGAGCTGGGAGGCCTGGGGATGGACTGTCCGATCTCGGGGGCAGAAGTTGCTGAGGTAGTCAAACAACTACACAGCGGCGGAGCCCCGGGGGCGGATGAGGTTCGTCCTGGGTATCTCAAGGCTATGGATGTTGTAGGGCTGTCATGGTTGACACGTCTCTACAACATTGCGTGGTCATCGGGGGCAGTTCCTAGGGAGTGGCAGACCGGGGTGGTGGTCCCCATCTTTAAGAAGGGTGACCTGAGGGTGTGTTCCAACTATAGGGGGATCACACTCCTCAGCCTCCCTGGAAAGGTCTACTCCAAGGTATTGGAGAGGAGGGTCCGATCGATAGTTGAATCTCAGATAGAGGAGGAGCAATGTGGTTTTCGTCCTGGCCGTGGAACTGTGGACCAGCTCTATACCCTTGCAAGGGTGATGGAGGGGGCATGGGAGTTTGCCCAACCAATCCACATGTGCTTTGTGGATTTGGAGAAGGCTTATGACCGTGTCCCCAGGGGCACCCTGTGGGGGACGCTCCAGGAGTATGGGGTGGGCGGCTCTCTGTTAAGGGCCATTCAGTCCCTTTACCAGAGGAGCGTGAGTTTGGTCCGCATAGCCGGTAGTAAGTCGGACCTGTTCCCAGTGAGGGTTGGACTCCGCCAGGGCTGCCCTTTGTCACCGGTTCTGTTCATCACTTTTATGGACAGAATTTCTAGATGCAGCCGTGGTGTGGAGTGTGTCAAGTTTGGTGGCAGGAGAATCTCGTCTCTGCTTTTTGCGGATGATGTGGTCCTCCTAGCTTCATCCAGCTCTGACCTTCAGCTCTTGCTGGGTAGGTTCGCGGCCGAATGTGAAGCGGCTGGGATGAGGATCAGCACCTCCAAATCTGAGACCATGGTTCTCGACCGGAAAAGGGTGGCTTGCCACCTCCGGGTCGGGGGAGAGGTCCTACCTCAAGTGGAGGAGTTTAAGTATCTCGGGGTCTTGTTCACGAGTGAGGGTAGGAGGGATCGGGAGATCGACAGGCGGATTGGTTCGGCGTCTGCAGTGATGCGGACGCTGAGCCGATCTGTCGTGGGGAAGAGGGAGCTGAGCCAGAAAGCCAGGCTCTCGATTTACCGGTCGATCTACGTCCCAATCCTCACCTATGGTCATGAGCTTTGGGTAATGACCGAAAGAACGAGATCGCGGATACAAGCGGCCAAAATGAGTTTCCTCCGTAGGGTGGCCGGGCTCAGCCTTAGAGATAGGGTGAGGAGCTCGGACATTCGGGAGGGACTCGGAGTAGAACCGCTGCTCCTCCGGATCGAAAGGAGCCAGTTGAGGTGGTTTGGGCATCTGGTCAGGATGCCTCCTGGACGCCTCCCCGGGGAGGTGTTTCGGGCATGTCCTGCCGGCAGAAGGCCCCCGGGTCGACCCAGGACACGTTGGAGAGGTTACATCTCCAATATGGTCCGGGAACGCCTTGGGGTCCTGCCGGAGGAGCTGGTGGACAAGGCCGGGGAGAGGACGGCCTGGAGCTCCCTAGTTGGGATGCTGCCCCCGCGACCCGGACCCGGATAAGCGGAGGAAGACGAGACGAGACGAGAGACGAGATAATATAATATCAATTAAGACCAATGCAAAAAAAAAAAAGGAATTTTAGAAATGTTTGCAAACTGAAAAGTATGAACATGTAACACAGTATTTAGTTGGGGCTCCTTTGGCCTGGATTACTGCAGCTACAGCGTGGCATGGAGTCCATCGGTCTGTAGCACTGCTGACGTGTTAGGAGAGACCATGTTGCTCTGATAGTGGCCTTCAGCTCTTCTGAATTGTTGGATCTGACGTACTGCATCTTCCTCTTCGCAATACCCCATAGATTTTCTATGTGGATAAGGTCAGGGTGGGCTGCGCAGTGGCGCAGTGGTTAGAGCTGTTGCCTTGCAGCAAGAAGGTCCTGGGTTCACTTCCCAGCCTGGGATCTTTCTGCATGGAAGTTGCATGTTCTACCTGTGCATGCGTGGGTTCTCTCCGGGTACTCCGGCTTCCTCCCACAGTCCAAAACCATGACTGTTAGGTTGGTTGGTCTGTCTAAACTGTCCTTAGGTGTGTGTGCATGGTTGTTTGTCCTGTGTTGCCCTGCGATGGACTGGCTCTCTGTCCAGGGTGTACCCCGCCTAATTGCCTGTTGACTGCTGGAGATAGGCACCAGCCCCCTACGTGGACTACGCGGCTTCAGAAGATGGATGGATAAGGTCGGGGTAGTTTTCTGGCCAATCAAGAACAGGGACATCATGGTCATAACCCTCTCAGGCTCAAAATAAGTTTTTATGAAAGGACGAACAGCTAAGTCCTTCAGGGGTACTTCTGAGTTAAAAATGCTCATGAAATACGTATGTGGAGTAACCAGGTAGGTAGGTTTTAAAGTTGCAAATCTGCAACGCCTGCCTCCAGAGGGTTAAACCTCTGGTAGCTTTGGTGCTGTGTGCAGGTACCAAGTCGTGTTAGAAAATGAAATCTGCATCTCCATGAAGCTGGTAAGCAGCAGGAAGCATGAAGTGCTCTACAACTTCCTGGTAGATGGGTGCATTGACCTTGGACCTCAGAAAACACAATGGACCAACACCAGCAGATGGCATGGCACCCCAAACCATCACTGACTGTGGAAGCTTTACACTGGACCTCAATCGATGAGGATTCTGTCCCTCTCCTCTCTTCCTCCAGACTCTGGGACCTTGATTTCCAAAGAAAATGCAAAATTGACCTTCATCAGAGAGAACATAACTCTGGACCACTCAGCAGCAACCCAGTCC